CGAGAAAATATGAAGGGAAAAAGGGTGATGTGAGGAGGTCAATGTGGAGAATACAGAGATAGAGAAAAGGAGAAAGAAACTAAAAGTGAAAGAAATACAGAGTGAAACGAAGAGGAAACGCGAGAAGACGAAATGGAGGAATGGCGAGGAGGAGGAAAAACAAAGGTAATGAACGAGATAAAAAAAACATAAATAAACAAGGGGAGGATGAAAGAAAGGTGAAAACACTAAATGAAGAAAAGAAAAGAAATGTAAAGAACGAAGCAGCTGCGAGACTTAAACAAGCAAACAAACAAACAAAACCAAAAGGAACGACAGCAGGAGAAGAAGAGACCCGGGAAGGTTCCAGAAGGAAAGTTGGAAACAAGAAAAGATTCTTTGATTATAATGAATGTAACAATTAGACGAAGGGAAGGTTTTGATTACAGGGAGACGTAATTTATGAAGGGAAAATGTTTGCTTTGAGGAAATAAAAAAAAGCGAAAATAGCGAAAAAAAGATAGAGAAAGCAATTTAAAGAGGAAGATTAAAAGCTCAGAAATATACGATTGCACGCAGAAAAAAATAAAAGATTAATAAGAATAAGAAAGGGCAAGAAAAAGAAGAAGAGGAGGAAGAGGAAGGAAAGGGCAAGAAAAAGAAGAGGAAGGGTAAAAATCGCAAATAAGTGTAAGAAAAGTATATAAAAATATAGATATAAATAGAGAGAGAGAGGAGGGAGGGGGCAAGAAGGCGGTAAGTAACCCTCGTGGTAATTACAACATCAACAGCTCTTATTTAACGGATATTTACGTAATTTGGATTAAGCATGAAGATGCAGGTAAACAGGGAGAGGAGGTAAATAATGAAATAGTGTTCGTGGCGAGAGAAGGAGTGGGAGAGGGAGAAAGGGAATGAGAAAGAGGGAGAAGAAGAAGAAGAAGGAGAGGGGAGGGAGAGAGAGGGAGAGGGAGAATGAGAATGAGAGGGAGAGGGGAAAGGAGAAGAAAAAGAAGAAGAAGAGGTGGGAGAGGGAAAGGAAGGGACGGAAGCATACATTTAGACAGAAATGCACGTGGAACAAGAGAGAAGGAGAAGAAATGGCTTGTGACTCCTACGGGGTTTGTCCTACAAGATGGCGGTCGGGGACATTGCAAGCGTGGGCACAAGATCTATGGAGGGGGAAGAGAAAAGGATAAAGAAGTAGAATGAAAAAAGAAAAAAGGGAAGGAGGAGAAGGAGGAAAGGAAAATAAAGAAGAAGAATTAAAACCCCACACCAGAGAAAGGGAGAAATTAACCCCAAATTAGCAAACAAACAAAGAAAAATCATCGACACAGACCGAAGATAAACACGAAAGGAGGAGAATCATTCTTTATAATGAGAGAGAGAGAGAGAGAGAGAGATGAGAGCGAGAGAAGAGAGAAGAGAGCGAGAGAGAGAAGCGAGAGAGAGAGAGAGAGAGAGAGAGAGAGAGAGAGAAGAGAGAGAGAGAGAGAGAGAAGAGAGAGAGAGAGAGAGAGAGAGAGAGAGAGAGAGAGAGAGAGAGAGAGAGAGAGAGAGAGAGAGGAGAGATAATAAGAATCCCGTTCTTAATGCACTAGGTAATGGATCGATGCGGCTCGGAGAACACAGCGCAGAGAGGCAACGGGCGGCCTGGCGATGAGACATGGCTCACGGGTTGGAGAACAAATTTTAATGGTCGCATGGCGGCTCGGAGAACACAGCGCAGAGAGGCAACGGGCGGGCCTGGCGATGAGACAATGGCAGGTATAGATGTTCACGGGTGGAGAACCCTTGTGCGGCGTGTTCTCTGCAAATCGCATCCTCTTTCGGAAATGTTCGTTATCGTAGCTGAGGTTTGGGAAGGGGGTGGGGTGGGGGGATGGGAGGGGAGAAAGGGAGGGGTGGAGAGAAAGGGATTAGTGGAGGGGAGAGAGAAGAAGGGAGAAAAGGAAATTAGCGAAGGAGAGAGAAGAATGAAAAACAATTGTGAAGGAGGGAAAGAAAGGGGGGGAAATTAGTAAAGGAAATAAAGGTATTGAAAAAAAGATTAGTGAATGAGATAGAGAGAGGAAGAAAAAGAAATAACTGAATGAGAGAGAGCAAAGAAAATCGTTTGTGAAGAGAGAGAGAGAGGAAGGGAAAAATATTAATGAAGGAGAGAAAAGAATAAAGATTAAAGAAAGAGAAATAGACAAAGATTCGTAAAAGAGTAAGGAAAAGAAAATATTTATAAAGGAGAGAGAGGAACTGAAAAAAGATAAAGAGACAGGAAATCGTTAATGGAGAAAAAGCCAATAGATAAAGAAAGAAGTAGAAGAATTAATGAATCGATAAACAGGTACATGGACATCAGATAAAAAGATACAAGAGGAAATTGCGATAATGGAAGTAACTAGATAATAACGAAATGGGAAAAGGAAAAATAAAACAATAAGTGTAGTGAAAGAAAACGAAGAAAGAGAGAGAAAAAATAGACATAACAAGAGCGCGATTTGAATAGCTTGAGATTTTTTTT